GGCTTTCTTCTCGCCCACCCCCTCCTCCTTCGTCTCCCTGCAGCCGTGGGGGGGAGGGTATGGGGGTGGCGGGTGTTGGAGTGTTGGGTAGTGTGCTCCCCTTCCCCTCCTCCTCCTTTCGTTCCCACTGCTGCAGCTGCCGCTGGGGGGGAGGGTGTGAGGGTGTGGGGGAGCTGGGGGAGTGGCACTGGGGTGGCGGGTGTGAGACCATCCAGCAGCCGTCCCTCCACCTCTCCTCTCTTCCCCCCTCTACTGCTCCTGCAGCAGTGTGGGGGGGAGGGGGAGGGGGAGGGTGAGGAGATGGATGGGGTGACCAATCAGAGCCAGCCCGCCTCCTCACTCTCCCTGCTGCCCCCAGATGGGGGGGGAGAGGGTAAGGGGGTGGTTGCTGCTGTACCTTCTTTGTTACCGTACCTGCTGTTGCTTGTGTACCCCTGCAGGTTGTGTTCTGCACAAACTCCTCCTGCAGGCAGTTATGGGGGAGTGTCAGAATTTATATATGTAACTGCCTGTAGCTGTAGTTAGTGTAGTTATTATAAACTTTGTTAGGTGGTGCACCTTTGTTCACATGCTATATGTTATTGCAAACCTATAGTGAACTCACTTTCATTCCCAACTTTCTCGATACCCTTGCCTTGGCACAACCCACTCGATATCCCCTAGGCCTAGGCTACTAAGCCTAGGCCTACTTAACTCTCAATTACTCTTAGAGCTCGTTACTTTGACACTTTCCTGTCCTGCATCTGCACTCTGACAGAGGTGGTGAGTTCTACTCCGACCTCTTGCGGGACTTTTGTCGTGGGGAGGGCATCCGCCAAACGTTCACGCTTCCGGCCTCTCCGCAGCAGAATGGGGTTGCTGAACGCCGCATTGGCTTAGTCATGGAGGTTGCTCGTACCTCTATGATCCATGTGGCTGCCCCCCATTTTCTGTGGCCGTTTGCAGTCCAGTACGCTGCGAATAAGCTCAACCTCTGGCCCCGTGTCTCCTTCCCGGAGACCTCGCCCAGGTTGGCGATGCATCGGTGTTCCGGGTCCGAGGATGTCGTGCCTTTGTCCGTGATGCTTCCGTGGACAAGCTCTCCTCCCGTGCTGTTCCCTGCGTCTTCCTTGGCTTTCGTGAGAGTACGACGGCTTATGCCAGCTATGCTTGCTTGCCTTTACTTTATTATGCTATTTCTAGCATAGGATATTTATATGCATGCATGAATTGCTTGATTTCCTAGGCTAGGTGCTTTCCTATATTTTATTATAGTTATAGCACCGAGCTAGGTTGCGTGCACCGAATTCTGGCTTTTCGGTTGCCACCGAATTGCCTTCTACCAAATTCGGTAAGGATCCGTTCGGGACGCTACGCGGCCCGCGGAACCTTCGCGTAACACCTGGTTACGGGGCCTTGTGTCGAGCCTATATATAGCCTCGTGTTGTACCCAGGTGATCATTCAATTCGATTCAATTCACATTCTCTTTTCTGAGCTCGATCCTAGATCCTCACACTTTTCCCCCTGACGCGCCTGGCTGGCAGTTTTACCACCCCACCACGCGACGTGTTTTCCCCTCTTAGGACGTCACGATTGATGAATCGGTCCCCTTTTACCGTCTCTTCCCCTACCGCACCGCCCCTCTCCGCCGCTCGCCGCTCTTCCTCGCTCCAGGTCCTCCTCCGGTAGACCCACTCCCCTTGGTTGAGCCTGTCAAGGTCACTGGTGACTCAGGTGCTACTGGGGGTGCTGAGCCTGTGGGTGTGGAGCCTGGGGGTGCTGAGCGTGAGCGTGCAGAGCCTGGGGGTGCTGAGCTTGCGGGTGCAGAGCCTGGTGTTGCTGAGTCTGGGGATGCAGGGCCTAGGGCTACTGCTTCTCCACTACGGGGGCCTCTCTCACCGCAGCATCCGCGCGAGTGCTACGCTCAGCAGCTCTGCCTTCGGAGTGTCGCTTCTGGAGAGGGAGGCCTTGGAGCTACTCGTACTGGAGGTACTGGAGCTACCGGAGCTGGTGGTGCTGTTGGTGCTAGTGGTGCCGCCACTACTAGTCCTGGAGGTGCTCGTACTGGAGGTTCTGGAGGTACTCTCTCGCCGCAGCAGCTACGCGAGTGATACGCTCAGCGCTGCCGCCTTCGGAACGGCGCTGCTGGAGCTGGAGGCACTGCGGCTGGAGCCGCTGGAGCTGGAGGCACTGCGGCTGGAGGCACTGCGGCTGGAGCCGCTGGAGCTGGAGGTACCGGAGGAGCTGGCACTGCTGGTCCTGGAGGTGCTCGTGCTGGAGGTACTGGAGCTGCCGGGGCTGGTGGTGGTGCTGGTGCTGGAGGTGCTGGTGGTGCTGGCACTGCCAGTCCCGGAGGTGCTCGTACCCGGGGTGCTGGAGCTACTAGTCCTAGAGACCCTGGAGATGGAGGCGCTGGGACCGGCGGCCTTGGAGCTGGAGCTGCTGGTCCTAGAGGTGCTAGTACAGGAGGTACTTGAGCTGCTGGAGCTGGTGGTGCTGCTGGTGTTGGAGCTGCTTGTCCCGGAGGTGCTCACACTGGAGGTACTGGAGCTGTTGAAGTTGGTGGTGCTGCTGGTGCTGGAGGTACTGGAGCTGCTGGTGCTGTGGGCTCCAAAGCTGGAGGCGTTGGGGCTAGAGGCGCTGGAGCTAGAGGCGCGCGTGCTGGAGGTTTTGGAGCTATTGGAGGCGCTGGGGCTGCTGACACTCATATTGGAGGTGCTGGAGCTGGTGGTCCTGGTGCTGGTGGTACTACACAGCAGCAAGTGTTCTTCGCTCCGCTGTCCCCGCCATCCCTGGCACCGGCTAACTTGGTGCTTCGCCAAGTTCTTAGCCTCATGTCTTCTACTGGCCTCCCGTTACAGCCAGGCTCCCCACTGCCAGCTCCTTCTCCTTACCCTGAGCAGAGACTCGTTTACAGTGCGTCGTGAGCCTGCCTCTCGTCCTGCCTCGCCTGTTCGCGCTATTCGCACTGGTCGTCGTGTTCCTCGTGAGCGTCCTCCTCTTGTCCCCGGCACGCACACTATGGCACTTCCTCATACCTCTGTTCCACTGCGTGTCCCCCTGCCATCTCCTCATGCGTCCTCTCTTGCTAACGATCCGGACCCTGAGTCTGACTTTGTTCAAGCTGCCAGCCCTACTGTCACACGTCTCCTAGCCACTGTTGTCGCTGACCCTTCCTTTGAGTCCACTGCTGTGTCTGCCCTAGTAGCTGAGCTTGTTGACTTTGCTGCTCGCTATCGTCTCGACTACACTGCTAGTCTTGTTGCTGAGTCATAGTCTGACTGTCCTCTATCTGTCGGAGGTGAGTGTGCTCTTGGCACGTCCTTGAGGACAGGCAAGAGGGCTTTGAGTGTCTTGCAGCTGATGTACCTCATCTTGTGTCCATGCTGATTGCACCTGGAGACCCGGATGCACTAGACATCCCGACCCCGTGCTCTTACGCAGAGGCGATTGAGGGTCCCTACTCCTCTCAGTGGCAGACAGCCATGGACGCAGAGATGGCATCCTGGAAATCCACAGGCACTTACGTCGACGCAGTTCCCCCTCTTGGGGCGAACATAGTCGATGGCATGTGGATTTTCAATGTGAAGCGGCCGCCAGGTTCTCCGACTGCCTTCAAGGCTCGTTACGTTGCACGAGGCTTTAGTCAGCGACAGGGAGTTGACTTCTTCCAGACCTTCTCCCCTACCCCAAAGATGACCATTCTTCGGGTGCTGCTCCACGTCGCTGCTCAGCGTGACTATGAGCTTCACTCTCTTGACTTCAGCACAGCTTTCTTACAAAGCACTCTGCATGAGAAGATGTGGCTGCGCCGCCCACCTGGCTTCACTAGGTCGTTTCCTGCAGGTACCTAGTGGAGCCTCCGGCGGCCAGTCTACGGTCTCCGCCAGGCGCCTCGTGAGTGGCACGACAGACTGAGGACGACTCTTGCGGCTCTTGGGTTTGCTCATTCGACTGCTGACCCGTCGTTGTTCCTGTGGACCGACACTTCGCTGCTGCCGTTCTACATCCTCGTGTACGTCGACGACTTGATTTTTGCTACAGCTGAGACTGAGGCACTGATTCTAGTGAAGTCGGAGCTGCAGAAGAGACACATGTGCACAGACCTAGGCGAGCTGCGCTGCTATCTTGGCTTGCAGATCACCTGGGACAGAGCACGCCGCACCATCACCCTGACTCAGTCACACATGGTGCAGAAGGTCCTTCAGCGCTTCGGCTTCACTTGGTCCTCGCCACAGTCCACTCCTCTGCCTACCGGTCACTAGCTCTCAGCTCCACCTTCGGACGAGTCCGTAGAGCCGAGTGGCCCGTATCCAGAGCTTGTGGGCTGCCTCATGTACCTGATGACCTAAACTCAACCTGACCTTGCTTACCCTCTCAGTATTCTCGCACGCTACATTGCGCCCGGGAGACACAGACAAGAGCACTGGCAATCGCGTAATCGCACCAACCAAGCCACTAAGTGTTGCACTGGGCTACTTTCCTTTTTCCTTTATATTAAGAGAATCAACATTTACCAGAAAAGTTGCCCTGTGCAAACAGAAAATGTTTTTTACCTGAATTTGTCAAGGAACGACAAATTATACCCTATGCATCAGGGTTGGGACTACCTAGAACCTTGATTAGAAAGGGTGGCCCAATACCAATCTAGAGCCGTGGTTCTGACCATAAGCGTCATGCTCCAGATTGAAGCGCGAGCGCCCTTAATCGGACGGCACCTATATCCGGGGCCATACGGTAACCCCCCCATTGACCTGATCCACAAGTTGTTTCTAACTCTAAGATTAGGTAGATTAGACTCTAAGATGATGACATTATAAAGGTTCTCACTTGTAGGATTTGCAAGACACTCATTTGTTCTCGTGTACAAGATAAACTGCCAATTTTTACCGGTAGTACGATATGTAATATGACACATATGTCTTCTACCTGGGCGACGATGGTAGGAACGGTACTTGCTACACACAATCGCATGCATGGTTGTCGTACATGTGAATTCAGGTATTGGCGTGCTCATGCATCAGAGGACCTTTGTCCGCTCAAAGAAGGTCTTGAGATGCCAGAACTGCAGAGCGGCCAGAAGAGCGCACGTGAGGAGGGAGAAGGCGCTGAGCCACCCGACTCGTGCCTGCGTGGCGTGGGACATGCCTCGTAGCTCCTCCTCCCTGCACCCACCCATGGGACACCACGTGTAGCGCACAGCATGAATCAAACGGTGGCGCAACAAGGGAGCACAAATGTCCAGGTGCGGCTCCTCCAGCACCACGGAGAGGCGCCTGCACACGGCGCCATCCCCTCATGCGCCCTCCCTCCCATCCCCTCATGCTCGGTGCAGCGCGACCAGCATGTGCATCACCCAGCATGTGCAGCGCGACCAGCATGTGCAGCACCCAGCATGTGCAGCGTGACCAGCATGTGCAGCACCCAGAATGTGCAGCACCCAGCATGTGCAGCACCCAGCATGTGCAGCATAGCAGGCACTTAATGCAGCAAGCATGTGTGGCGCACCTCTCTTGGAAGAAGATCATTTCGTTCGACGCCGCCTCCACCAGCCCCTCCAGCCGCTTCACCTCCCACTCGAAGCTCTGCATGCCACACCCACCCCAGCACCCACCACAGTACCCACCGCAGCACCCACCACAGCACCCACCACAGCACCCACCACAGCACCCACCACAGCACCCACCACAGCACCCACCACAGCACCCACCACAGCACCCACCACAGCACCCACCACAGCACCCACCACAGCACCCACCGCAGCCAGCACCACAGCCAGCACCACCGACAGGCAAGCGAGGAATGGGCAGCAGGGGAGGGCAGATGGTGAGCAGCTGTGCCTTCCCTCCATACCTTGCAACCCCACAGCACAGCGTTGCCCCACCACGGGCACTATTGCTGTGATCTTTCAATACCCTTGCACGCATGGTGAGGTGCACGCATGGTGAGGTGCAGGCATGGTGAGGTGCACGCATGGTGAGGTGCACGCATGGTGAGGTGCACGCATGGTGAGGTGCAGGCGTGGTGAGGTGCAGGCGTGGTGAGGTGCAGGCGTGGTGAGGTGCAGGCGTGGTGAGGTGCAGGCGTGGTGAGGTGCAGGCGTGGTGAGGTGCAGGCGTGGTGAGGTGCAGGCGTGGTGAGGTGCAGGCGTGGTGAGGTGCAGGCGTGGTGAGGTGCAGGCGTGGTGAGGTGCAGGCGTGGTGAGGTGCAGGCGTGGTGAGGTGCAGGCGTGGTGAGGTGCAGGCGTGGTGAGGTGCAGGCGTGGTGAGGTGCAGGCGTGGTGAGGTGCAGGCACAGCAAGCGGCAGAGACAACCCCTCTCACCTCCACCCTCCTCTCACCTCCATCCTCCTCTCACCTCCATCCTCCTCTCACCTCCATCCTCCTCTCACCTCTATCCTCCTCTCACCTCCACGCGCTCCTCTCACCTCCACCCTCTCTTTGGTGGCGGCCTGCTGCATGTGCGACGCCGCCTGCCCCTCACGCCACGCCACCTCCACCTGGTGCCGCGCGTCGTCAGGGCGCCCCACGTGGGTGGCGTGCAGCCAGAAGCAGAGGTGGTACTCGCCGCTCTCCTCCGCCGTGAACCCCACGTGCCCCTCGCCCACCCCCTCCTTCAGATACACGTGCACGCCGCCCGGGGAGGTCACCTGCGCCATCACAACACACCAGTGGGGAGGCGTGGAGAAGAATGAGACGAGTGGAGAAGAATGAGACGAGTGGAGAAGAATGAGACGAGTGGAGAAGAATGAGACGAGTGGAGAAGAATGAGACGAGTGGAGAAGAATGAGACGAGTGGGGAAGAATGAGACGAGTGGAGAAGAATGAGACGAGTGGAGAAGAATGAGACGAGTGGAGAAGAATGAGACGAGTGGAGAAGAATGAGACGAGTGGAGAAGAATGAGACGAGTGGAGAAGAATGAGACGAGTGGAGAAGAATGAGACGAGTGGAGAAGAATGAGACGAGTGGAGAAGAATGAGACGAGTGGAGAAGAATGAGACGAGTGGAGAAGAATGAGACGAGTGGAGAAGAATGAGACGAGTGGAGAAGAATGAGACGAGTGGAGAAGAATGAGACGAGTGGAGAAGAATGAGACGAGTGGAGAAGAATGAGACGAGTGGAGAAGAATGAGACGAGTGGAGAAGAATGAGACGAGTGGAGAAGAATGAGACGAGTGGAGAAGAATGAGACGAGTGGAGAAGAATGAGACGAGTGGAGAAGAATGAGACGAGTGGAGAAGAATGAGACGAGTGGAGAAGAATGAGACGAGTGGAGAAGAATGAGACGAGTGGAGAAGAATGAGACGAGTGGAGAAGAATGAGACGAGTGGAGAAGAATGAGACGAGTGGAGAAGAATGAGACGAGTGGAGAAGAATGAGACGAGTGGAGAAGAATGAGACGAGTGGAGAAGAATGAGACGAGTGGAGAAGAATGAGACGAGTGGAGAAGAATGAGACGAGTGGAGAAGAATGAGACGAGTGGAGAAGAATGAGACGAGTGGAGAAGAATGAGACGAGTGGAGAAGAATGAGACGAGTGGAGAAGAATGAGACGAGTGGAGAAGAATGAGACGAGTGGAGAAGAATGAGACGAGTGGAGAAGAATGAGACGAGTGGAGAAGAATGAGACGAGTGGAGAAGAATGAGACGAGTGGAGAAGAATGAGACGAGTGGAGAAGAATGAGACGAGTGGAGAAGAATGAGACGAGTGGAGAAGAATGAGACGAGTGGAGAAGAATGAGACGAGTGGAGAAGAATGAGACGAGTGGAGAAGAATGAGACGAGTGGAGAAGAATGAGACGAGTGGAGAAGAATGAGACGAGTGGAGAAGAATGAGACGAGTGGAGTTTGGCTGAATTGACATGGCTGCAGCAAGCAAGGGTGGGTCCCATGGATGTGGGCGCGTGAGAGTGCACGGATGTGACGAGGCGCCGGGCAGAGGGAGGAAGCACGGACGGAGATGTCGAGGGAGAAGGGGTGCGCGTGGCTGGCGGGCACTGCGGCGTAGGAGGCGGCCACGAGGGTGTCTCGCCGCAGGTCGTGGCCGACGCACTTGGCGTGCTGCTCCACGTGGAAGCGCACCGCTGTGGCCGCTGGTGGGGCGAGGCGGTGGGGAGTGAAGAGTTGGAGGGGCTTGATAAGTACATGCTTGGGCGGCCGCACTCGCATGGCCCTGAGCTTTCAGTGCGGCAGATGAGAAGAGAAGGAAAGGCAGTGAGGCATAAGCAGTGCGAGGAAGAGTGGCCACGTGAGTGTGCGGGGAGCGTGCGAGAGGTGGCAGGGCTGAGAGGGACGAGGGGCGGTGAGGGAAGGGACAGTGAGGGGAGGGGCAGTGAGGGGAGGGGCAGTGAGGGGAGGGGCAGTGAGGGGAGGGGCAGTGAGGGGAGGGGCAGTGAGGGGAGGGGCAGTGAGGGGAGGGGCAGTGAGGGGAGGGGCAGTGAGGGGAGGGGCAGTGAGGGGAGGGGCAGTGAGGGGAGGGGCAGTGAGGGGAGGGGCAGTGAGGGGAGGTGCAGTGAGGGGAGGGGCGATCGCAGCAGGCACAGTGCGGCGCGCTGCAGTGGCGACAGCGGCGACAGCGGCGATGCGCGCACCCTCCGATCTGCCCGCGAGGTGCCTCACCGCGCTCGACGCGCAACGCCACTCGGCGGCTCACCTGCGCGCGCGGCCATGGCGAGCAGCAGCAGCCACAGCGCGACGCCACGCCCCATGACGCTTCGCGGGGCAAGCGCGGGGCACTCGTTGAGCGGAACGATAGCCGCCGTTGATAACGTGACGCGGTGCGCGCAGTGTGACTTGCGCGCCGTTGATATCGTGCGCGCAGTGTAACTTGCCTGCTGTGTGATGGTGGCGGTGTTCGTGCAGGGAAAGAATTCGCGAATATGTGCTGCGAACTCGATCGTTATCATTTTGATGTTGGTTGTGACAGAGTCACGAGCACTATAAAATGCTTCGTTAGAACTTTTGCTATTACTACAACCGTCAAAAAAACATTGAGAATACTACGAAACAAACAAAAATGTTCTGAACGAGCATCTATTGAACCACAGCCATGATGTCCCCCTCCCTCACAAAGCAGAACCTGTCGGAACCATCCCCAATTGCCACCTGCATGGAGATTGGCCATCAAGACCACAACACTCAGAAAGCATGCCAACGGTGCAAACTCCATGGAAGTAGCGTGTGCATTAAAAAAAAGTGTCGAGGGGTGAAGAGTAGAGGAAAGCAACACAAGTGTGCGCTAGAGCTGGCAGTGATGGGCACGAGAGAGGCTCACCTCGTAGGCGTTCATGTCCGGAAACATGATCTGCACTCACCCCCACGGCACAACACCACGGCACACATACAGCACAGCACACAGTTGGATGGTTATTCAGTATACCCCGCGTTAGAAGCTGAGGTACCAATTGGCAACGGTCTAGCCAGGGTGTTGCACACCACACTGCTGGGTTTCCGGCCGGCACAGTAATGGCTCTGAGTGGATAGTAATGGCACTGAGTGGATAGTAATGGCACTGAGTGGATAGTAATGGCACGAGGCATGATGATCTGTAAAGAGCAGCCTAGGAGGGTACTGATGGATGCTTAGACAGCAAGGATCACCGCACACACAACCATAGCACTGCACAGCATGGCATGGCATGGCACGGCATGGCATGGCATGGCATGGCATGGCATGAGCATACTGTAAATGGCAAACGTGTGGCACTGCTCCACAGTGGCGCCCCTGCCAGGGCCTCCCCTTGCACTCCAGGCTCACACACATGTTCCACCAGCGTGGCAGATCACCAGGTGTCGAGGCCAGGTCAGTGCAACAGGTGAGTCGCAAGGTGAGTAAGCAAAGTAGGAGGTAAGTGTTAACCTTTCATTTCAGAAAAATCCTTTCGATCCAGTCAACCAATGTTAAGCAATATGGACGAAAGCAGAAAAGCTCCTCGATTCATTTTGGTTGTGTTTGTTGTTCATTGGCTACGGACGTGAGTGACCAAGGAGAGAGGGTGGAGTGTGAGAGGGAGCGCGATGACAGCGTCGAGTGACTCACCTTCTGCCCCGCTGATGCCTTCTTCACCTCCTCTCCCGCTGATACCACCTGCCGTGCATCGTGTGCCAGCCCCGCTCCCCCCCACCCACCCACCACGCACACACACCCACATCCACACACACAGAAACACACAGAGTTGGGCGGGAATAATTGAGATACACAGTTAGAGCAGTAGAGGAGGGCAGCAGAGGAGGGCAGCAGAGAGAGCAGCAGAGGAAGGGAAGAAAACATCAGTACCTGCCCGGTGAGGTATCGCCTTACCTGCCCGGTGAGGTATCGCTCGTACTTGACGGCCTGCGTGGGCAGCAGCACGCCCCCCGCTGACTTCTGCACTCATAGGCAAGCAGAGGGGGGCGCAGATGGGGAAACAGAGGAGGCACAGAGGGGCACAGGGGGGCACAGAGGGCATGGCAGTGCGCGTGAATGGAAGGAACACCAAGTCTCAGGGCGGTGCCTCAGCGCCAGGGCGGTGGGAGTAGAGAGCGAAGGTGGACGGACAGAGCAAACGAGGAGAGCGAGGCGGGGGAACAGGGAGGTGAAAGCGCAAAGAAGGTGGGCAGATGGCAGGTGGGCACGCGTCAGGTGGGTCCCATGGGGGCATGGGGCCACGGGGGCATGGGGCCACAGGGGCATGGGAGCATGGGAGCACGGGAGCATGGGAGCACGGGGGCATGAGGGCACGGGGGCATGAGGGCACGGGGGCATGAGGGCACGGGGGCATGAGGGCACGGGGGCATGAGGGCACGGGGGCATGAGGGCACGGGGCAAAGGGAGCAGCACTCACCTGCTCGGGCTCATCGAGCTTGACCAGCACTCGCTCGCCCCGTGGCTGAACCTGCATGCACGGAGACGAGGGCAGCACGGAGACGAGGGCAGCACGGAGACGAGGGCAGCACGGAGACGAGGGCAGCACGGCGACGAGGGCAGCACGGAGAGAATAAACAAAGGAGACAAGGGGAAATGAGAGGGAGCGAAAGGGAGAATAAAAAAAAACAAAGGGGTAATAAGAAACGGAGAAAGGAGGAAGCGGGATCAGAGGGGGGCACGCAGGGAGCAGAGAGTGAGGCTGGTCGCGCTGTGCAATGTGAGAAAGAGCTGCGCCTCGATCGCGGCATGCCGTGACACAGCACCAAGAAGTTCGACGCTTTTCGCGTCTCTGTTACCTTGTTACCAGAACATGTTTACGTCGCAAGGGCGAGCTCCCGCCGCGGAGCTGACGCGGCGTCGCACGCCGGCAGCTGACGTCACAGCGCACAGCTGCGTGGTGCCGCTGACGGCACCACCTTGGTGGCTGCGCACTGCCGCGACCCGCGGCTCTCTGCCTCGCCAACCACGCCAACCCGCACCCGCACCCGCACCCGCACCCGCCCCTTGACTCACCTACCCCAACCCTCCCTGCCACCACCCTTCACTCCACCCACCTCTCACTGCCTCCCGGCCTCACCCGCTTGTCGCTCAGCGCCTGCGCGATCTCCGCCGCGCTCATCGCTGCGCGCACGCCCACCACCGCTGACGACGACGATCGCGACGCGCATTTTCTGGAACGAGCGACCAATGGAGAGGCGAGGCTGGGAGTGGTGACACGGCAGGTGCGCGCGCCGGTGAGAGTGGAGAGCGCGGCGGGCTGCGACGCGACGAGCGACGAACGACGCGCGCGGTGGGAGGGAGGGATGTTGAGAAGGCGCGATGGGAAGAAACGAAGTTAGCATCAATGATCCCTGAACCTACTAGCCTGTGCTGGGCAAATACAGAAACAAATGCACAGCGATGAAGGGTTTAAGGAAACTTAAAGAGAGTGGCGGGGGTGTGCAAGTGAAAGAGGTGGGAATGAAGGGGCAGTGGGGGACGGGGAAGGGGGAAGGGGTGGGAATGCGAAGAGCGAGCGGTGGCAGCAGCGTGGCGACAGATGCGAGCACAAGCGCAGGCGGGGGGGCGATTGGGAGGGCGCGGCGTGAGAAAGGCATGCTTGTAGCGGGTCGCGGGAGCGGCGTGGACGAGAGGGCTCACCGCGAACGCGGATTGGTGGGTGCAAGCGAGCGACATGGACGCCATGCGTCCGGGCTGTGCGGTGACGAGCAAGCAGCTAGCACTGAAACGGTGATGACGGAGTTGGAGGAACACGATGAGAAGGCAGAATGACGATTGTGAGTGCTGCCGAGGTAAACGAAGGGTGAGACAGGGCGTGTTCCCGTCGTCTGTCGCCCAACCGCCGAGCGAAACGGCGGAGACTTCGCGAACCTCCGAGTGTATGACGTGGCCTGCTCGCCCTCCCGAGCGACCAAACTGGATTGTTCCTGCGAAGAATACCCCACGTACTTCCAGGGTGGACAGATCCTTTGATGTTACGAAACGTGTAGCAATGTAAGGGAGTGGAACTCCTTAAAATTCCATTAAATATATCATGTTATGAATGAACCTGCAGAGTGCGCAGAATAACGGATAACGAGAATGGTTGAATACTGAATGACGACACAAGGAAAATGAAGGGAAATTATACGGAGAATCCTCGCTAGGCGAGGACGTCGGGCGAAGGATGGTTTGGTCGGGAGTGGTTCGGTGCGATGAAATAGGCGACGAGGAGAAAGAATTTGCCGCGCGATTCCTTCTGGTACATCCCAAAGTCATGCGGCAGCTGAGTGAATCCGAGCTCCGTAAGAACGGTGTGCAGGTGCTGCTGCCACAGGCGAGGTGCTTGCTTGATCCCATAGAGAAATTTCTGGAGAAGGCAGACGGCGTCGTCGCTCTCTTCGAAGGCGTGCAGCTGCTCGACGAAGATGATGGCATCGATAGGCGCGTATAGGAATGCTCTGCCGGCATCGATCTGACGGAGCGAGCGCTGCTTGATGGCTGCGATGCAGAGGAGGATGCATACAGAGGTGTGTCTTCCAACGTGCGCGAATGTGAGATCGTAATCCACCATATGGGTTTGCTCGAAGCGCATCATCCATCTCGCTTTGTACTGTCAGAACATATAGCTTGTGCTTATTGTGTAGGCTATAGTGGGGTAGCCCATAAGGGGTACAACCCAATTAGGGTTAGTACTTGTAACTCAGTTCATTCATAGTTCATTCATTCTCGTTTCTTCTCATGGTTTCAGAGCAGGTTCCCTAGTGGGAACGCTACCTAGGGCCCACCACGATTTTTTTTTCCTGCCCGGAGCGCGCCTTAGACTAGACCGAGTCGCGCGCGCCCCGTGTGCCCTCCCTACCGTCGCGCCGCCCTTTGTGGCCCCTTGAGCTGCCCGTCGACCCCACACGCCGCCCTAGCCGCCCCTCCTTGCACCACCCGTCGACCCCGCGCGCCGCCTTAGCGGCTTCCTACGCCGCCCGTCGACCCCGCGCGCCACACTAGCGGCCCCCTGCGCCACCCGTCGACCCCGCGCGCCGCCCTTGCGGCCTCGCCGCCCTTACCTGCGGCCCCGCCGCCCTCACCTGCGGTCCCAGCCGCCCTTACCTACGGTCCCCGCCGCCCTCAACTGCGGCCTTGCCGCCCTTACCTGCGGCCTCACCACCCTCACCTGCGGTCCCCGCCACCCTCAACTGCGGCCTCGCCGCCCTTACCTGCGGCCTCGCCGCCCTCACCTGCGGTCCCCGCCGCCCTCAACTGTGGCCTCGCCGCCCTTACCTGCGGCCCAGCCGCCTTCCCTGCGGCCCCGTCACCTGCTGCAGCGCCGCCCGCCACTAGAGCCGCTCGGGCCGCCTCACCTCGCCGAGCAGCCGACCGCCGCGCCGCCCTGCAGCAGCACGGCCGAGCCGCCCAGCAGCTGAGCAGCCGAGCAGCCAAGCCGCCCAGCAACCGAGCAGCTGAGCCGCCCTGCAGCCGAGCCGCTCAGCAGCCGAGCCGCCCTGCAGCCGAGCCGCCCTGCAGCCAAGCCGCCCAGCAGCCGAGCCGCCCTGCAGCCGAGCCGCCCAGCAGCCGAGCCGCCGTACAGCCGAGCCGCCGAGCCGCCGAGCCGCCCTACCTCCGAGCCGCCCGAGCAGCCCCGTCTGGTGAGCACAGTGCCTCTTTTCTTGCACTGCCCTCACCCTACTGTTGCACTGCTAGTCTACTGTGGTCATGGCTACCCCTAGTGTCCTCGCTTTTGACGTTGAGGGTCGAGCCATTGACTTTGACGTCTAGGGTAGATGACCTGCAGCTGTTTTTACAGTGTGATAGGGCAGACGGTCTCTCACTCTTTGACCTCACCTCTGGCGTCTCTCCTGCCCCTGCTGCTGATGCCGACACCACTGTTCGCTCCCAGTGGGCCACGCGCGACGCTGCTGCACGTCTTGCTGTGCGTCGCCACCTCCCTACCTTCGAGCGTGCGCACTTTAGTCAGTACAAGAGTGCTCAGACCTTGTACCACGCTGTAGTTGCGCGCTACTCCTCCCCTGCCACTGCTGCACTGAGCCGTCTCATGCTACCGTACCTCTTCCCTGACCTTACTGCCTTTCCCACAGTCGCTGACCTCATTACGCACCTCCGCACTAGTGACACTCGCTACCGCGCTGCGCTTCCTGCTGACTTCTGCGCCAAGAACCCCCCCCCCCATGTACATCACTCTCTACTACATAGTCACTCGCCTCCCTGACTCCCTTCGCGTAGTCAGGGACCACTTCCTCTCAGTCTGTCCCGCCACTCTCACTGTTGACCTCCTCGAGAAGTCCCTCCTAGCGGCCGAGAAGAGCATAGTCGCTGTAGGGGCCTCTCATGGTGACCCGCGCATCCCCATCTTTGAGGGGTGTTCCCCCTCCCCCCTTCTGCCCTCTGTTGCCTCTGCTGCTGCGGCCGACCTCCTAGGGGCCCACCACTACGTAACTACCTACCTACCTACCTACCTGTGCCCTAGGGCGCCTCGGCGTGTCACGCCCCTAGAGGCCCCTCTTGACGGCCCCGCGCTAGCCCCGTTCAGGCCCCGTCGGCCCCACGCCCGCTCTCCCTAGCGGCCCCGTTCAGGCCCCGTCGGCCCCTTTAAGGCCCCGTTCAGGCCCCGCGCTAGCCCCGTTCAGGCCCCGTCGGCCCCGTTTAAGGCCCCGTCGGCCCCGCGCTATCCCCTCTCAGGCCCCGTCGGCCCACGCTAGCCCTGTTTCAGGCCCCGTTGGCCCCGTTTCAGGCCCCGTCGGCCCCGCGCTAGCCCCTCTCAGGCCCGGTCGGCCCGCGCTAGCCCCGTTACAGGCCCCGTCGGCCCCGCGCTAGCCCCATTCAGGCCCCGATCGGGCCCGCGCTAGCCCCGTTTCAGGCCCCGTCGGCCCCGTTTCAGGCCCCGTCGGCCCCGCGCTAGCCCCGTTCAGGCCCCGTCGGCCCCTTGCTAGCCCCGTTTGGCCCCGCGCTAGCCCCGCTCAGGCCCCGATCGGCCCCGCGCTCGCCCCTCTAGGGCCCCAACCGGCCCCGTGCCGACCTCGCTGACCCGTGCCCACCACCTAGAGGCCCCGGGCGGCCCGTTCCCGCCGCAGCACACGAGGGAGAGCAGGCGGCCCGTCCCCGCCGTGACCCGAGCCGCGCGACCCGAGTCGCGCGCCCCGAGCCGAGCCGCGCCACCCACCCAAGCCGCGACCCGACCTGAACCGAGCCGCGCCGCCCTGCCCTACTTGGTTCGTCCTACCTGCTTCTCCTACTGCTACTGCTGCTATTTCTACTGTTCCTATCGCTAGCCCACAGGTTCTCGTGTTCGATGCTGAGGGCCGCCCTGTGAAGTTTGACACCTGGCTCGATGACCTGCACCTCTACCTACAGCTCACAGCCAAGGATGACATCTCACTGTACGATCACGCCCTAGGCCATGTCACTGCCCCTGCTGCTACTGCTGACAGCACTGCTCGCTCACAGTGGCAGACTCGTGATGCCCACGCTCGCTTCGCCATTCGCAACTCCCTGCCGATAGACGAACGTGAGCACTTTGGTCAGCACAAGACTGCGCAGGCACTGTACACAGCTGTAGTTGCTCGCTACTCCTCACACTGTCAGGTCTCCACCTCCCCTCGTTCTCTACGAACTTGGTGGCAGGTTCTGCTCTCCAGGACGGGGGTGTTCACCAGTTCACCCCTGCCTACGAGCGCGTGACACACTGCACGTGTGCTCGTACGGGCCGTCACTTGGCTACCTTCACTCGGCAGCCGGGGTCGGACCTGTACACACTGACTACTGAGTCCCCTCAGGTTGCTGCGACTGCGTCCGCGTCCGCGTCAGGTCAGCTGTCCGCCCCCTGCTCGTGTCGCTCTTTGGCACACGAGACTGTCCTCTGGCACCACTGCCTTGGCCACCCGTTTGTGCAGCGGCTTCGTGCCATGCACTCCCGGTACCTTGTCTCTGGCCTGCCCAGGGTCCTTCCTGCCCTCCCACCCTCGCCTGCTCCTACCTGTCTCCCCTGTGTCAAGGGACGGCAGCGCGCTGCTCCTCACTCCTCCTCGTTCCCCCCGACGAGTGCTCCCTTGCAGACACTCCACATGGACGTGTGGGGCCCAGCCCGCGTCCGTGGTCAGGGTCAGGAGAGGTACTTCCTGATAGTTG